CCAAATTCACACTACTGTAATCCACAAGACTTTCATTTTCAGCCTAAATATAGCTATAATTTCATATAATTAATTCCAGTCCATAATCACTATCAGAAAAAACTACTAAACATTTAAATTACTTTAAAAACCGGCCTTGCTTTTAGGTTGCCCATAGTTATCTATATTAAAGAAAAAATGTAACTTCACATCAACAGATATAAAGTAATCCATATTTTGCATAGCTAGACGTATATGGTATTATGTTGAGAATATCGCCTCATCAAACAAGGTCTTAACAAGGCGGTACCTTTGATGGCGCGCTTCATATATTTGATTGGACGAAGCAGTGGCGGGAAAACAGCGCCGAAGAAGAAGTTTAGTTTTCAAACCAGATGCTCTTTGTTTCATGAGATATGCGCAGTCCACAAAATCCTAAATGCATTATAGTTAAATGTGTTTGAACGTTATATGATATGCTGATATTATTTAGTCTATCCTGATCATTTTAATCATAGGCCTGCAATTAAAACGGAGCGCATAAACATTTTAAAATATACAAAAAAATAAATACAATAAAATAACTATTACGTTAAAGTATACGTTTTTATATTGAATCTAATATTTTAAATCATTCACAAAACTAACAATACGAATAAAAAGAAATCGTATTATTTTTATTTGATAGATGTTGGGCTTTGCGCTGTTAGCAAGCGGTTTTAATGCCGGCGACATCAAACAGATGTTTACTGTAACATTTACCAAGCAGTCAAAATACGTCTGCGACCCCCGCGCGCCTCTTTCATGTTGAATTCGCGAACTTTTGACCTCTATTTCAGGATACCAACAGGAGGCAGGGCAGGTAGGTGGAGACTAAACCAAATCCGAAGCACACCTGGACACTTTTAACTTTACACCTGTGCCGTGCGCTGCAGAGAATCTCGCTTTTATTCATCCAGCTCAAGCCCACCTCATGGATCGCAGAGCGGAGGCTGGAAACCTGCAATCCCGTGATACCGCAGAGGACGGTCCGGGTACCGCGGGGGATGGAGGAGCCGCTCCAGCACCCGAAAAGCCTCCTTATTCGTACGTGGCTCTCATTGCAATGGCCATCAGAGAAAGCGAGGAGAAGAAGCTGACCCTGAATGACATCTACAGCTTCATTATATCCAAGTTTCCATACTACGAGAAGAACAAAAAGGGGTGGCAGAACAGCATCAGACACAATCTGAGCCTCAACGAGTGTTTCGTGAAGATTCCCCGGGAGAATGGCGGGGAGAGGAAGGGGAACTTCTGGACGCTAGACCCTGCGTTTAACGACATGTTTGAGAAGGGTAATTACAGGCGCAGGAGGCGCGTCAAGAGACCTTACCGACCACCACCCTTACCGTCTGGATTTAACTTCACCGACTCGTACTGCCTGCAACAGGAGCCCCTTTACTGGCAAACCCCGTTCATCAGCACCAGCTCCTGGAGCCACCAGTCCAGCTCTCCGACGCACATCTCCAGCTACCTGCAGCCCATGCTTGGTAACGCGCGCCCTCTGTCTCCAAACGATTACGCCAACTCTCCCGTGAGTTATTACCACGGTCAACACCATCACCTTCTCCCGTCCTACAGACCGTACCACCGGCATCCGACCGCTCTGGTGCCTCTGAGCGGCATGACTCCACCGGTGAGCCCGGGCGGAAGCTCCATCTCCACCTGCAGCTACCCGCCGCAGAACAGCCACCCTGAACATCATCCGTTTGACTGATGGACACACATGTGAAAACTGAATATAAGTAGGCAAACAGTTTCATTTGGATCTAGATTTGCTTTTTTCGTTAACCTTTGGGAATGTTAAATATGCCGTTTCAAGTCAAACTGGCTGGTTGAAATTAGATCGGAATGTTGCATTCGCTGCATTAGTTTGATTACTGTATATATATACAGTAACAGGTTTACAGTTGTGTCTTGTGGATTCTCACGAATGAAACATTGTTACATTGCTTATATTGTTGTAGTCAAGAGACGAAGAACTGTTCAAACGCACTTGGTTGTATAGGCAAGTTATTAGTTTCCATCAATTTCAGCAAGTGTTTAAAGAAAGCATCAAGATACATAAGCATATTTATTTTTTACCATATGTTGAGATGTGCTGGATTAAGGATCTTAAAATGAATGAACGGTTTGCATAGCAGTTTACCGTTTAAACATGTGTTTGCTTAGTTGGAAACTCTTTGCACAAGTTGTTTACAGGAGTTCTTTACACATGCAAAAGTGTATTTTCTTTAAAAAAAATGTTTTGTTTAACCTATTGAATGGACATGTTCGGTGTCTGTATTTTTTGAAAATATTTTTTATATGTAAGTGTTCATAATCTTTTCGAATTTTTCTCTGATAAAATTCTGATAACTGGTCATGCAAGTCTCAGTTATTTGACAATTTATTTTGTATATTACTAATTACATTTGGTCAAACTTAATTATAATAAAAAATATTTTGGTATATAATTAAAAAAATACACTTATTTGTAGCAAAAAAAAAGCATTACTAACTTTTCATTGAAAAACGCACAAAATGCCACTGAAAATCCCTGGTTCTTCAATATCTAATCAATCCAGTGCCTTGTGTAAATGATATGTGCAGTGCAAATAATTAATTATAATGAAAATTCATGATTAACGGTGATTAAAATGATCAGGTGATTAATCCAAAATAAGGAGCAAGAGCATGGGAATACGAATTCGATGAGCTCCATAATACACTTTGTAGCTAAATGGCGCCCCCTTGTGGCTTTTGACACATCTGTAAAAAGATGTTATAATATTTAATTTTTCATAAGAACAGTTTATAGACAGAACATGTTGATTGACCACTGCTTATATAATTAAACATATTTTATTAAATAAAATAATTTACATATTGATACGTGGCGACCATCATCTCAACATGTTTCTGTGAATCCATTGATTGGGTTTACAGAAAAAAGGCATGACATATTGTAGTAGTTGACATGAGATGTGTCCATTCCATGTGATTATGCAGATCTTAGTCCACTGACCCCGATTTAGGTTAGGCATGTGATGTGAAAAACACTGACTATAGCTTAAACTGGTCATTTCCTGACCGAAAATGCCTTAGAACAGAGAAATATAATATCATAATTTTTTCTTGACATAAAAACCAGTCCATATTCAAACACAAGCTGCTGGTTGAACAAGCAAGAGATCTTTTGTAATGAAAGATGGAGTGTCAGAATCTCAAGGATAGACAAGGCTCTGAAACTGTTGCCATGGTGAGGAAAGACTTTACTGTTAGACCACGGTCTCAGACGCAAGGCTGTATGTCCATCCATAATTTCCCTTAAAGGCATCCGAGGTCTCTTTCTACAGCTAGATTTGATTAGCTCAGGGGCTGTAATGACATTGCATGTGTTTGGTTTTCCCCATCACCTCCAACTTCCCTGCGGTGTTCGGTTGTCTGGCAGAGTGGTGCACTTTGGCCTGCAATGACTGGTGGGCAGGGGGTGAAGGTGGGTGGATGTGGGCACAGGGGTCTTTGGCTTTATTTCAATCTGAGTTTCTGTTCTGCACATACACTTCCTGTTTTCACAAGCTGTGAGCTTTCAATGGTGCAATGCATTTTAGACGCTTGTTATCATCTATTATATGGCTGAAAAGAAGACCTATAAATGTCTGTGCAGATGATTAAACAGCATGTGGCTAATTACATGCAGTTCCAGGACTTGGATTCAATAGTGTTTTCATAAATGGGCCAGAGATTGTACTCTATTTGGATTACAAGACATGTATATTTTTATGCAAATCTTTATAATTTGAGGGGTTTTGTTAGGGCACCGCTTTTAAGCTTCATTTTATGCGAGTATTTGTTTTCTCAGCAATAAAATAACAGCCTTTACTAGACGTCTCCTTGCTGAAAGCTGACAGCATTAGCCTATTTGACTGAATGACTGGTGCTTTTAAGTGACTTCCTCAAGGACCCATAATCGTTATTCGCTGTCAGTGGCATCCAGAAATAGAGCTTCCTTACTCTCTCACAGGAAAACACGTCTGACCGGTTTTATTTAAAAATGAGGAAATAATAAGTTCAGTAATTCAGCGTGTTATGTACAGCATTTACGCATACTGGTATCACGTGATAACTGGTTTATATGATAATACTAGTAAACATGCTCTGGACTACAGTTTCGTGGTGAACTTATTGGTGTTTTTGAACAAATAATGTAATGAGTCCTTTACCGCCAGCCTTGAAGGACTGACTGTAACATGGGCCAATAGTATTCGAGTACGGGCTTTGACTGCGCATTTCATTGGTTGAACCTACTAAACGAATACGCCCCCTACAGTGAACCAGCCGCTTTTGCTTTTTCAGTCTAAACCAGACTCGGCCCTGAACCAGAGCTCCTATGTGAATGAGCGACTGAACGAAAACGGTCATTTAAGTCAGTCTCATTCACAACAAGGAGAGAAAGCGGCCGAAGAAGTATGCTTGTATAAAACGACCATACGCAGTTCAAGTTAATTGAAACGTGAACGACTCGGGCGTCTTTGGCGAATCGGTTGAGTAAATGATTCAGTGACTGACTCATAACTCTTGTCATCACCCTACAAGCTTAAACTCGATCTTGCTGAACAGATTTGAAAAGATTCGAGTCACTGGGATGAATCAGAAGCCACATAATATGGGTCATATTGTATTTGTTGTTAATGTATAGCTCATAATGCATAAATATGATTGGCCAGAATGAAGTAATCACAGAGACGGGGTTCAAACGACCGCAGCATGTGGCACGCGAGAAAACAGACCTCAAAAGCAGAGGAAGCCAGACGGTGATGTGCTGCTGAGGAAGAGTTAGGGACCGGTACTATTGTTTCAAACGTTATGAAAAGTGCGAACATTTATTACATATGTATGAAAGTTAAAATCATAACATTTTTATGTAATGGAGAAAATGGCGTCAGTTAATTTAAAGTCGTAAAACATCAAATATCTTTGATGTTATACTCTAACGCTTTCTCCAAACATATTCAGCCCGTTTCTCTCCGAATGAAGGACATGACGCGCAGACATTTTTTTATTGTCAGTATTATGCCGTGCATGAATGACAACAAGGGAGAAAGAGAGAGAGAAAGGAGGAAGTAAGTGAGCGCGAGAAAGAGGAAGAGAGAGAGAGAGAGAGAGAGACTATACAACTATGTCGATGATCCCTACGAGTTAGGAACGCGGTGCTCAGCGCGCAGTGCAGACAGCCACTTTAACACCTCCAATCACTAAAGGATTATCAACACTTCTGCTGTCATTCCAGACCATTCAGATACTGGCGTCTTGATCGGCGACCGAAATTCACGCACCAGGAAGATATCAGTTTTCAATGTCAAAGTAAAGGAGCATCGCTGATTCTAAAGATGGAGAAATGAACCACCGGTGAGGCTTGAAGGTAAGTTGGCGCTGTCACATTGTCATATTTTGTTTAATGTTTCCCAATGTTGCAGAGGCTTATTCATGGTGGCTTGCGCAAAAATGTGTTGACACCTGCCTTTTTAAAAATGCATCATAAAGTGATCTTTTTAATCGCTACGACTTTATGTACGCCATATATTTTCGACAGACGCATAGTTTAAAATATAGTATAATATCTGTGAAATTGCTGGGTTGATGAGAGATGATGTGCGCCACGTTTCTCGGATATTGGCCCTCCGGCCGGCTTTGTAACCCTATACAGTCCGACAATTCATCACACAGCTGCAGTGTGTGCTTCAGACACATGCATAGCATATACGATATTAGATATGGATTAATATGATACAATGTCAAATCTAATGTCAGGAACACCATACTTCTGTTTATGATTAATTGCAATTGAAATCTGCTTTAAATTGATATTTCAGTTGTCATTTTTCATTGATAATGTAAAGTATAACTGTATCGTAGTGTGCATATAAACAAGTTTATGCAATTGAATGACCTGTCTGCCTTTACAAGAGATTAATATTAGTTTATTTTGACTGTATTTAGTATACACCCTAGTATGCACTGCTTTCAATTTCTTTAGCAGGTCACTGGGTTGATACAAACCATTGTACAGTGTTATATTGCATAGAAATATTGTAAAATGTGTGTGTGTGTATATATATATATATATATATATATATATATATATAAATATATATATATAGTAAGAAGAAGAAGTATAAATATACTGCATAGTAAGACACGTTAAATATTTAGCACATGAAAAAATAAGTATATTCTATATTCATTTTGAAGCTCATGTGCAACATATTTGAAGTTTATAATAACTTGTAATGCAATATACTTCTATGTTTTTATTTTAACAGTGTATTAATTGAGGTTTAGCATTATGATAGTCTTCTACATTTGTTTTAAGTCGTAGTGATCATAAAAACAATTATTCTGTAATTATTCAATACAATTATTCTGAATTAATTAGACTTTTACTTACACATTCGATTGCTACTAGCCATGATAAAGTGATATTAATCATAATATGAATAATATTATGAGCAAAGTAAAGCAAAGTGTCTTAATAATTATTTATTATACAGCAGATGTTACATGCTCTCTCTTCTCTCTGAATATTAATTGAGCGTCTTGAGGTCACTCCCTGCCTCTGTAATTGGTTCAGCGGGTTGTAACAGCTAGTAAACACTTCATGCATGTTCAGTATCGTATGACTTGATCTGTTGTAAAGCGACTATCTGTGTTCAGCAGTGGGGTCAGCTGTAGATGAGTTTCCTGCACCATGCCGCCGGGGGTCTACGGCATGCAGGATGTGTGGGAGAGGGAGGGTTGGCAACAGGTCAACATGGAGTTCCTCCTCCCCACAGGGATCTACCTTAACTTTACTGTAACATCCAGTGACACCATTAGTACCATCAAGAAGGTGAGGAGACCCTCTGATCACATGCAAACACCAAACATACTAATTTGCAGACATTGGAGAACATGGATAGTAGACATGGACATTTTGTAACATTTTAGGTTAAAAAGGACAAAAAAGCACCACAAATAATGTCCATGCAACTTTGAAAGTCTTAATACATCTTAGATAACAAAATTGAAATCATTATTTAGTAAAATATCTTAACATCATATCTTAACGCTGCTTGTTTATGAGAGAAGTGGCAAAGTCCAATTTGTAAACAGATCTTTTCAATGAATCTGTTGATTTGGTTCACAAAATGGACTGAACGATTTGTTCGTGAGGGTGAGTAAATGTTAAAAAACCACTGCTTTAATATGAGGTCATAAAACTGGATCTGTAATAATTAAAATAACAAATAATAAGAATTTTAAAAAAGAGCAAAATGCTGGTTAAATACTCAGATTGCGGGACATTTTGACTGCACAAAATTATTTGATTGATGGATGGAGATTAAAAATCTAGTGTTTATTTTTTATTTAATGGTTACATTTGCTGGTTATTATATTTATTTATTATATTTATAAAGTCAGATGTTTTTTTTAAAAAATCCCTATATTTAAACAATTTAAAACTGATGTTAAAATGTATTTGGAAATTATGTCTAAAAGTAAAAACGTAAGACGTAAAAATAAATATATATATATTATATACTGTTTTTTTCCCCTTTTTTACTTTCAATATACCCCTGACAGGTTTTGTTATATGTGCTCTTGTTTGTACAATATGCTTGGTTCTCAATAATAAATTATTTGATTGAATGGATAAGTTGGCACACAATAATACAAACAAAATATACTTTGTAAAACATCAGTCACGACTGATGATAATGAACAAATTGAAAACTTCCCTCCTAGGAAGCCTATTTCTGTGCTGGTTTGGTGCTGGTAGACCACTATAGGCATGATGTTCGCTACCACAAAATGCATGGTTTTTCTAGTGAAGCTGGTTAACTAAGGAAGTCTTACTGGTTGAACTAGTCAGGAAACCTAACAGCATCATATGCTGGGTAACATCATTTAAAACAGTGGTATTATATTGTCTGCGCAAAATTATATGAATCCACTGCAGTCAAACCCATTGGCCACATTAAAATCTTGATTTGTGACTTGTGTCTTAGATGGTGTGGAAAAAGGCCGGGAACGAGCCTCTGTTCAGTGCCCTGAGTGACCCGGATGCCTACGTCTTCACCTGCATCAACATGACCGCGGAGCGGGAGGAGCTGGAAGATGAGCAGCGTCGCATGTGTGACGTTCGGCTGTTCTTGCCAATTCTCAGGCTGGTGGCCCGGGAAGGAGACCGAGTCGAGAAGCTCATCACCACCCAGATCAGTCTTCTTATAGGAAAAGGTTTGTGTCACACTGGTCCTCAGCTGACCTCAGAGCTGTTTGGGCGGCTCACAATGGAAGCAGCTTAGCGTTTACTCACCACTGCAGCAGAATGATATGGTTTTGGCAGCTGTTCAGCAGTTAAGAAGAATTTGCTTATTTAAACAAAAAAATTATGACAGGCTGATTCAGAAAATCTGGTTTCTAAATGTCTCTTGATGTTGATCATTTCCCCTTTTTGAGATAGTCTTTTTTTACCTTGGGTAGTTTTGTTAATGTTTTTTGAGGATGGATGTTCACAGACTCTGTTCATGTTACCTTCTGCCTAATTCGACTAGCTTCTACCAAGTGTTGATGAATTTGCACCAAAATACCCTAGATTTTGGCCAACAAAAGATGGGAGGTATTTTCTTCTCCCTTTTAAAATTCAATTTTAAGCCTTTTTATTTTGCTGTCCCTAAAAACGTATGATTGTATATGATTAAATGGATTTTATTATTTGCTTTTAGCATTGTGCTAATTTTTGTACAATATTACCAGAACAGACTTGCAGCCCATTTTTTGTGTCTCGGAGAGTTTTATTGTTGGTAGTTTTATTATCTGTAGCATTTTCATAATGAATGTTGACAGCGCAGTTTTAGCGTTCGGACTTTGTTCTAAATGGCAAAAAACCTTCTCCGCAGGTCATCATGAATTTGACTCCCAAAAAAACCATGAGGTGAATGAATTCCGAACAAAAATGCGGACATTTTGTGAAGAGCGTGCTCAGGTGCGTCAGATGTTGCCATGGGATCAATGGATGGAGTACAACTTCCCATGTGACTTGGAGCCGTGCTCTGTAGTGGCACAATCTGGGAAATCGTGCAGTGACAAAAAGATTTTTGTCAATGTGAAGTTTGAGGGCAGTGAGGTGAGTAAAGTCATATTTTACACGAGTTCATATAAATATACAATTCTTTTATGCTACAATTCAACTTTCTGTGAATTCAATACTTTAGCATAATGCTATGTATCTGCTTTCTGTTTGTGCTGATAATGTGAAATGAGCATGAAGTCAAATGTAGTCGTTGACTATTTAATCCTCTCATGCAAAAGTCTAATCTTAGACTGACATATTTTCTGCCTTTGATATCACAAATCGTAACAGTCAGGAGACGTTTACACGGTGATGATGTCACTGCAGCATCTGCAGGCACACATGGCTCTCACTGACCCAGTTTTCCAGAGTGAAGCCTTTGATAGTATTTATATGTGTTGTGTTGCCTGTCAATCCCCCACCCACTCAACACAAATGTTATTTACCTATGATCTTTAACCCTGTAATGAGTCTGAAGCATGCAAAAAAAAAAACTCCAGCAACACTTGTTTTTATAATGCATGACATGGATCAAAAGCCAGACCGTTTCGACACCGCATTTGCAGAGAAAAACAATCACATTATGAGTAAATAATCATACTATCATAAGTGAACTCTGACCCTGTGTGTATCAGTGATTATGAGGGAGTTTTCTTCTTTTTTTTTTACTATAACTAGAGCATGTTTTCTCAAACTTTTTTGAACCAAGGACCCCTTTCATAACACAAACTGTTCAAAGGCCCCAGAGAAGTCGCTGTTGGAATGAAATGAGGAACATGGCAATCATGACCACCCACTCCCATAAAGCATAGTCTCCCCACACTCTCAATCAACTTGGCAGTCTCTTCTCAGTTTTTGTATATATATTCAGATGCGAGATTTCTATATTTGTTATTATACAGTACCATTCAAATGTTGATTTTTTTAAATGTTTTTGAGAGAAGTCTCTTATGCTCAACAAGGCAGCATTTATTTGAATAAAAATAAGTAAAAACAGTAATATTGTGAAATAATATTACAATAGCTGTTTTCTATTTGAATATATTCTAAAATGTTTATTTTATTAAATATTTATTATATTATGTTTTTATTGTTTATTTTTTATTTAATGATTACATTTGCTGGTTATTATATTTATTTATTATATTTATAAAGTCAGATGGTTTTTTAAAAAAATCCCTATATTTAAACAATTTAAAACTGATGTTAAAATGTATTTGGAAATTATGTCTAAAAGTAAAAACGTAAGACGTAAAAATAAATATATATATATATTATATACTGTTTTTTTCCCCTTTTTTACTTTCAATATACCCCTGACAGGTTTTGTTATATGTACTCTTGTTTGTACAATATGCTTGGTTCTCAATAATAAATTATTTGATTGAATGGATAAGTTGGCACACAATAATACAAACAAAATATACTTTGTAAAACATCAGTCACGACTGATGATAATGAACAAATTGAAAACTTCCCTCCTAGGAAGCCTATTTCTGTGCTGGTTTGGTGCTGGTAGACCACTATAGGCATGATGTTCGCTACCACAAAATGCATGGTTTTTCTAGTGAAGCTGGTTAACTAAGGAAGTCTTACTGGTTGAACTAGTCAGGAAACCTAACAGCATCATATGCTGGGTAACATCATTTAAAACAGTGGTATTATATTGTCTGCGCAAAATTATATGAATCCACTGCAGTCAAACCCATTGGCCACATTAAAATCTTGATTTGTGACTTGTGTCTTAGATGGTGTGGAAGAATGCCAGGAACGAGCCTCTGTTCAGTGCCCTGAGTGACCCGGATGCCTACGTCTTCACCTGCATCAACATGACCGCGGAGCGGGAGGAGCTGGAAGATGAGCAGCGTCGCATGTGTGACGTTCGGCTGTTCTTGCCAATTCTCAGGCTGGTGGCCCGGGAAGGAGACCGAGTCGAGAAGCTCATCACCACCCAGATCAGTCTTCTTATAGGAAAAGGTTTGTGTCACACTGGTCCTCAGCTGACCTCAGAGCTGTTTGGGCGGCTCACAATGGAAGCAGCTTAGCGTTTACTCACCACTGCAGCAGAATGATATGGTTTTGGCAGCTGTTCAGCAGTTAAGAAGAATTTGCTTATTTAAACAAAAAAATTATGACAGGCTGATTCAGAAAATCTGGTTTCTAAATGTCTCTTGATGTTGATCATTTCCCCTTTTTGAGATAGTCTTTTTTTACCTTGGGTAGTTTTGTTAATGTTTTTTGAGGATGGATGTTCACAGACTCTGTTCATGTTACCTTCTGCCTAATTCGACTAGCTTCTACCAAGTGTTGATGAATTTGCACCAAAATACCCTAGATTTTGGCCAACAAAAGATGGGAGGTATTTTCTTCTCCCTTTTAAAATTCAATTTTAAGCCTTTTTATTTTGCTGTCCCTAAAAACGTATGATTGTATATGATTAAATGGATTTTATTATTTGCTTTTAGCATTGTGCTAATTTTTGTACAATATTACCAGAACAGACTTGCAGCCCATTTTTTGTGTCTCGGAGAGTTTTATTGTTGGTAGTTTTATTATCTGTAGCATTTTCATAATGAATGTTGACAGCGCAGTTTTAGCGTTCGGACTTTGTTCTAAATGGCAAAAAACCTTCTCCGCAGGTCATCATGAATTTGACTCCCAAAAAAACCATGAGGTGAATGAATTCCGAACAAAAATGCGGACATTTTGTGAAGAGCGTGCTCAGGTGCGTCAGATGTTGCCATGGGATCAATGGATGGAGTACAACTTCCCATGTGACTTGGAGCCGTGCTCTGTAGTGGCACAATCTGGGAAATCGTGCAGTGACAAAAAGATTTTTGTCAATGTGAAGTTTGAGGGCAGTGAGGTGAGTAAAGTCATATTTTACACGAGTTCATATAAATATACAATTCTTTTATGCTACAATTCAACTTTCTGTGAATTCAATACTTTAGCATAATGCTATGTATCTGCTTTCTGTTTGTGCTGATAATGTGAAATGAGCATGAAGTCAAATGTAGTCGTTGACTATTTAATCCTCTCATGCAAAAGTCTAATCTTAGACTGACATATTTTCTGCCTTTGATATCACAAATCGTAACAGTCAGGAGACGTTTACACGGTGATGATGTCACTGCAGCATCTGCAGGCACACATGGCTCTCACTGACCCAGTTTTCCAGAGTGAAGCCTTTGATAGTATTTATATGTGTTGTGTTGCCTGTCAATCCCCCACCCACTCAACACAAATGTTATTTACCTATGATCTTTAACCCTGTAATGAGTCTGAAGCATGCAAAAAAAAAAACTCCAGCAACACTTGTTTTTATAATGCATGACATGGATCAAAAGCCAGACCGTTTCGACACCGCATTTGCAGAGAAAAACAATCACATTATGAGTAAATAATCATACTATCATAAGTGAACTCTGACCCTGTGTGTATCAGTGATTATGAGGGAGTTTTCTTCTTTTTTTTTTACTATAACTAGAGCATGTTTTCTCAAACTTTTTTGAACCAAGGACCCCTTTCATAACACAAACTGTTCAAAGGCCCCAGAGAAGTCGCTGTTGGAATGAAATGAGGAACATGGCAATCATGACCACCCACTCCCATAAAGCATAGTCTCCCCACACTCTCAATCAACTTGGCAGTCTCTTCTCAGTTTTTGTATATATATTCAGATGCGAGATTTCTATATTTGTTATTATACAGTACCATTCAAATGTTGATTTTTTTAAATGTTTTTGAGAGAAGTCTCTTATGCTCAACAAGGCAGCATTTATTTGAATAAAAATAAGTAAAAACAGTAATATTGTGAAATAATATTACAATAGCTGTTTTCTATTTGAATATATTCTAAAATGTTTATTTTATTAAATATTTATTATATTATGTTTTTATCTTATAGTCATGACTGGTTATCAGTAGTTTCAGCCTATATTGTAGGCTTACTCTTTTTCTAATGAAAGAATGTAGAAAATGAATGAACAAATTTCTTCCGCAACTCAAACTGCAGGAACAGACGGTCACTTGGAAATATATGTATTTTTTTTTCCGTTACATTTTTTAGACCCCCTGGTTATACATTTTACTCTGTAGGAGACCTTCGTTCTCCAGCAAGGTCCACAGGACCTGCCAATGTTTCTGAAACAGAACGCCTTGAGAAAGAAGTCCACCGTGTTCCGATCGGCAAAGCAGGAGAAGCCAGAGGACTACGCCCTTCAGATTAACGGGAGATGGGAGTTCATTTATGGAAAATATCCACTCTGCCAGTTTAAAGTAAGTCTGAAAATCACACCATCTTCTCGACTTCACAGCTACATTTTCTTTAAATTTCATATCAAAGTATCACACTTTCAGACTCCAGGCTGCATGTCTTTTTATATCTTGTCCTATTGTTTTGCTAGTTTTTTTTTTAATATACTCCATTTTGCTGCAATGTAAAGTTTGCCAAGCTCTTCAGAGGCCTTGATTTGAATTCATCGTAGGACTTCACAGCTCTGAAACAGTTGTTGATTTAGAAACTGCTCGTACCTACGAAGATGAGTCATACATTTCTACCAGCCTTCAAAACATCAACTACGTTGAGGATAATGTGATTTCAGCTGTATTACGCTACCTAAATGAACAGGCCGCAGGATCTGATGATGATTAGTCCAGGAGTACTGGATCTGGTCCAGTCTTTATAGTGTACATTTTGGAAAACAGGAACTGATAAAACCATCTGTACCTCTGCTACCATTTCCATCCCTCACTGTCTATATCTGTGTCTGTTTACGAAGAGAGAGAAAAAAAACTATTTTTATGCTCTACCTCATTCATTTTTTATTTAAGAATTTTTGGGGCTTTTGTCTTTTTTTTTTTTTATAGTGGACAGATGACAAGAAATTATTTGAAGAAAATGAATTCAGGACATGATTTGGGCCAGATTTTAACTTGTGTCACCCAAATGAGCACCATAACTCAATGTATCTTGAAGTTATGAGCAAATTTTTTCTTAATTTAATCTCTTTTTTTCCCCCCACTCTTGCAGTATATTTTTACATGTTTGCATGGAGGTATTACCCCACACCTGACCATGGTGCATCATTCAGTCATCATCAAGTACCAGGAGGAACAGGGTGGCCTCAGTAACCAGGTGTCCAGGAGTCGTGCTCAGTCCAAACCGCCCCCACTGCCTCTGAAAAGGGTGAGAAGGCACTTTTACACCGGAACACGATCTGTTATTAACAGGGGAACTACTTGTCATGTTTCTCTTGAAGCTTGTGTTGTAGACTTCAACTTCTCTGAACTCGATTTACAATGCGACATACTCGCAATCATTTAGCCATGGTGACTTTTTGATCATATGTGACCCCTTCATGGAAGTGCTTTGAATGAATGAGATGGAGCATAAAGTGTTTTTTCCTTGCTAGTTGTATAGGCTTCCGGAATAAAAAAAAAATGTAGATAATTATTTGTAGCAACTTAAAACAAGCTACATTTTCGAACACACCGTCGTGGCAATTTGTAACCATTTTACGCTTTAGCGAATTGGTGGCTAATTTGTATGATCTTGTGTTTTTGTATAATCTTTTAGGGGTGGACTTTCATTCTTATATATATATTTTTTAGAAAAATCGGACGTTTCCGTACAAATCGTATCGTCTGAATTCAAACAGAATCACAAAATAGATTGGGTTGACGTTTTCCAGCAAACAGAGGTGTAGGGTGACAAAACGCTTCATTGCTAAGGTTTGCAATGTTGTTTTGGGAAGTATAATTCTGGGAAGTATGATTCGGTGTAGAGAATTAGTTCATTTGAAGAGTTTATTTAAATAGACTGGTTAAACAATGATTCACTGATTAATTTGAGTCACTGAACGGACATCGCTGTGCCTTTTTGAATTTAATTAATATTGTAGTTATATATTGCTGTTTCTCACCATTTTTCAACACGTTCATATAAATTAGGGTGTTTTCTTGTTTTTTCGTGGTTGTATTTAGTGTAAATGTATAAGCTATATTTTATGTTATACATTTAATACAGCAATTTTATTTGAGGTCCTCATTGTTTTTGTGGCAGATAAATGCTGCTCTGGTTGTAAAAATAAATTGTAGCCTGTATTATTACAGTTATGCATTTATAAAGATAGTTCCCCCTAAAATAGCTTCAATATAATCTGTTTCATTAGCAGCTTGTAGTGTAGCTAACTTCAGATCAACTTCCCCATCGCTACTATGTACGTTTCTTCTGTGGTTGTCTGATGTACCTGATATACCATTCGATGAAAGAATGATACTGAACCAAAATGAACTGCTTGGTTTACCTTCACAACATTAGATTCACACTCATGTTAGTTCCTCATTCTATGGTTTGGTTTTGTTTTCTCTGTAACTGTCAAGCATGCTTGCACATTCGATTTTTAGCTCGCAATGAAAATACAAGCATTTGATGATGAAGAAAATGTTTAAAATGTTAAATTACTTTTTTTTTCTCAACAGCAAAACACGTCTTCGCTGTGGTCTATCCATGAGCCTTTCTATATATACCTTCTACAGGGTAGCCGAGTGAATGCAGATGAAGGCATGAAGGTAAAACTGCTTTTTTGTTTACTTGTTTGTTTGTTTATCTTAATTTGTATATTGTTAGTAGGATGCGAGTTGTGTTGTTTAGCATCTCAACTGTGGCAGGTAGTGAGGAGTAAAATCATGAACACTGTGGTCATGTGACCCTGACCACATATTTCCCATAATTCATCAGAAGCGGTTAAGTGAAACATCAAAACAGGAAGTGGGGAGTGACTATCTGGCTTTACGGCTCTCTCTTGGGCCTAGATTCTTAGAAAAGGCCGGCACTGTTGCTTATGTTCACCATATGCATCTCCTTTTTTGCTTGTTGGAGAAGGCAACAGTCATTGAACGGTTGTTTCTATTTAAAAAAATTAACGTGAAACATGTAGACCAGTCAGATTTTTTTTTTCATCTAGCCTGAGGAACAATTACTGCAGTGGTGGACTATGTTAAATATGTTTACATGACAAAGCATTTTATCATGCAAAAACATTCATGTAATTTTTCCTCACAGCAACTGTTTTTTTTAAAGAAATAACAAATTTCTGGCTTTCAAAAAGGAACTAGCAATGTCAGAATGATATTTTGACATGATTCATGTGAACAATTCTCTGATCACATTTTAATTTCATTGTATTGCATTGTTCATAGTGTTCTGTTTGCTTTATTCTCAGTGTTTATTGTTGTGCAAGTTTAGCTCGTCTCTTGCCACAGAGCTCTGAATCGAAATTTGTTTTAGCGCATTTATCAGTCTTGTTCTCTGGCTGATTCTTCTTAATGATATCTTATAATAATATTAAAAGTATGATTATATTGTAAATTTAAGTTTGGAGGATAGAGTTCACAAACATTGAATTATTATAATTATAAATGATAAGAATATAGTTATTTTAATTCAAGAAGGTTTTGAACATTTTTGCACTGAAACCACTGCTAGAGAAAAACCACATTTATTTCTTGTGACATCTGTCCCGCGTAACAAGTTACTCCACATGCTTTTTATGCCAGACGCTCATTTACTTCCTCATACTTTACCCACTTCATTCATTCGTACATTCTTTTATTTTCAGAAAACCGAAAGTAAGTTCCCTCTTCTTAAAACTGTAGACTTTAAGGCAGATTTGAGACTAATTTCCAGCTCTGCAATCATTATCCTTCTCTCAGCTGGTGGTTCAGGCTGGCCTCTTCCATGGCAGTGAGCTCCTGTGCAAAGTGGTGACCAGTAATGAGGTCAGTGTTTGCTCCGAACCCGTATGGGACCAGAAACTAGTGTTTGACATCAGCGCGAGTGACCTGCCTCGGATGAGTCGCCTCTGCATTGCCCTCTACGGCGTCATCGAGAAGACCAAGAAGCGCCCTACCAAGAAGAAAAACAAAAGTTCGGTATGTTTCAGTTCATTTCAACAGCAAACAAGTCACTTAGCAACCAACAGACTGACTGACGAGAGATGAGACACCTAACAGATGCTATACTTGGAGTCTTTGACATGCATGGCTGCTGAACATGTTCACAGTGAATGTTGTTTCTAAGTCAAATAAACATAACACACCATTGGTAGTATAGTCAGCATGAAGCATGATGCAATATTATTTAAACCCTCACAACAGGATGTTGTGGTCCATTTTCTGCTTAATGCGAGTAACCCAAGTTATCGTTAGGACAGAGCAGCTAGTTGATGTCAAATCAGAACTCACCAGCCCGCCTCTTCATGGCCCTGTCTCGGTCATATAGCGTGCGGTGTCAACTGAAGGCGCAGTGTTGAAATTCCCAGGTGTCAAAGTGTGTGTGTTTGTGTGTGTATGGTGGGCTGCTGTTGGCAACGCCAACGCACCCACTTCTGCTTTCAGTGTTACTTCTCTTTCAGCAAACTAGAGAAGTCCACATGGGTGTGGGACATGAAGAGAAAAAAGAGTCTCTCCTCCTGTTACACTCGCATTGTATTCGTTCTGATGGGACCCCATATTTCACCATCTTGAAATTTAAGTGTATTGTTTATCTCTAGATTCTGATGAAATATTCACATGTAGGTGCAGTGTAATAGAAATAATGTTCTTTTTAAAAAATCTTTAATATCTATACAATTATATTTTTAATTCTTCTGCAGTGCTCTGTAAATTATTCTGTATTCTGACATTCTTTATGAATTATAAATTGTTTTATAAAATTGTATTAAAATATTTATAATGAATTATAAATTGTTTTATAAAATTGTATTACAATATTTATAATGAATTATAAATTGATTATAAAATAAGTTCCGAATTTCTTTTAAGATTTAAAAATATGTATTTATATATACCGTTCCAATGTCGATTTTGTCAATACTGAATTAATATGAAGTGGAATAGAATTTTTCTTTTATCAAATTATAGATTTTCACATGTAAATGTAGGATTTTAAATTTATAAATGATCCTTATATTAAAAGAAAAATCTTAATTATTAAAACTTAAAAAGTCTTAATTATTTTACAATTTATTATGAATTATACATTATTTTGTGACATTTCATTTACAGTAATTTCGTTTACTTTTCATGTACAGTAATACAGTGTATTTATATATACTGTTACTATGTAGATTTAGGCAACATTGACATAGTATGTGGAATTGAATTGGATTAGAAATTAAACTTTTTTTTTGTTTGTTTAATATTGTTAAAATGGGCAGCTATTTGCAGCAAGCTTTCAATTTTTTATGATTTACTTTCACCTTTTATATTTGACTGAATCTCTTTTCACAAACAAGCGCTTCTAAAAATACTATTGATTGCAGTAATGTCTGTCTGCACAAATAGTAGCACTTTAATTTGACAACTGGACTACGTTTTCAATCATACACAGGAAGTATTAGATCTGTTTTATGGGTGTATTGGTAATCACTGCTGTTGTGACTGGAGTATTTGGTTAGTCAGTTGAATTGTCACCTCCCACAACTGAGGCATTAATGTACAGCGTTGTTTAGATTACAGTGTTACCTCTCCCACATAAAATGACTGTTGTGTAAAGTGTAATCCCAATATGGTTAATAACCCTCTTTCCACAGGACTGCCCTTTAGCCTGGGTTAACACGATGGTGTTTGACTACAAGGACCAACTAAAAACTGGAGAATTTTCCCTGTCCACATGGCCATCAGTCCCAGGTACTTTTACTTGTATAATGGGCACTTCTCGTGTTTATTGCCATCTTATGATAAATCGCTTGTTGTATTCCTCAACTGTAAGTCACTTTGGATAAAAGCATCTGCCAAATGAATAAATGTAAATGTAAAATGAACAGTAGCTCATGCTATTTACTGTTACTTCTTTTGGTATGACCTTGGGTAGAGTTATTTTAGAGTATTGCTGTGTCTTGTGAGTGAGTTACTTTATTTAGAATAGTTATTTTTAGTGATTTCATATCAGGATTAGAGGCATCAGTTTAGTTTTAACAGCTCAATCGCTTTATTTTTAGATGATAAAGGAGATTTGTTGAATCCTATGGGCACTGTGGAGAAAAATCCAAACATTGACAGCACGGCTGGTCTTCTGATTCGCTTTCCCAACATCAGACCACACCCCCTGTATTATCCTCCAATTGAAAAGGTGCCTTTTTGTGGTTCTCCTTAATGTTTGTATGCTTCTCTTAATGTCTATACGTTTTATGGAAATGACGTATAAATGCTCAGTCATTATCTTCATATTATTTTCAGCTAAATGAGCTGGGTTTGAATGGTGAAAAAACTGTTGCTACAAAAGAAGAGGTAAGAAATAACACGCATCGGTCTGTTAGAGGAGAAACATGCAGATACACCAGCCATGAAATGGAAATGGTTGCTACATTAGGGCCTGTATTTCTACAGCACCGTTAAGAGTTGTGGTTAGCTGAAGCATTGAATGTTTTCCAATGATTGATTCATATCACTAGAGCCGAAAGTGCTAAAACTACCTTAGTAGACTTTACTCTTAAGAAATGTTTTCTTTCAGCACCTGAAACTGAGAGAGATTGTGGACAATAAAAACTACACCGAGTTCTTTGAGGATGAGAAGGAGCTTCTGTGGAAGTTACGTGAGGTGGTGAGGCAGCGATACCCAGAGAGCCTCCCCAAACTCCTCCTCATCACTAAGTGGAACAAACACGAGGACGTGGCTCAGGTATGTTGAACCACTAGTTCCTCGGGATATGATTATTTTTAGACATTGAAAAATGTAACCCTTTTGCTTTGCTAAACATCCTTTATCTAAGCTGGTGTTCCTGGGTCAGAAATGACGGGCCTTTTAAAAATCGCTTGTAAATCTCTCATTATGCTATATTATCACCAAATCTTTGATTCAGTCTTTTTGTCAATGCCAGTTTTGACAATGTTCACTCAAAAACTGAGGTGCATAAACTCAGATCAATGAGGCCTACAATCAGAGAAGTACAAAACTTGTGCTAATTGAAATAAAACAAGTTGATAAAAAGATTGAATCCAATATTTGGTAATAATGTAGCATAAAGAGAAATTTATGAGCAATTTTTTATAGGCCGGTGATTTTTGACTGGGAGCACCACAAGTGTAACGAGGAGGTGAAGACAAACAAACAAAAAAAGTATAAAAATTAGTATTATATTATTCCCTGTGTGAGCAAAGTCAGTAGGTTTTAGTCCAATGTGATAAAATTACAGTAACTATAATTTTCGGGAAAAAGAAGGTCAAAATGTCTGGAACACAACATGAGGGTTAATTATTCCAGGAATACATTATAAAAGGCACATTTAAAATAAATGTGAATAATTCCTTGTACCCTATGTGTACCCCTTCTGTCATTTACATTTTTATATTCATTTATTTTACTTTTTTGGAGTTAAAGGATTTTTGGAGGTTAAAGGGTTAGTCAAACAAGTGTCAAAAAAGCAATATACAAAATATTTCTATCCCCCCCAAAAAAGTATCCTTTTATTTCAGGTCATTTGTTTTACTTTTTGTTAAAAAGTAGTATTTTAAAAATAAAAAAGCTCTTCTAAATTAAATTAAATATTTTAAAAAATGACAGAACTGACAACATTTTGTTTAATTGTTTCAATTTCTTCCTTCAGGATTGATTTGCTCATTATACCACATCTCTCACACAATCTTTAACAACTTCCAGGGCGCTTTTCTGTCTAACTTTATGGTTTTAGAGGCTGTTGCAGTTCAGTGCATTTTTTCTTTTTCTTTCTTTTCTTAGATGGTTGGTTTGTTACGAAAATGGCCAGAATTGCCTGCTATACATGCTCTAGAACTTCTGGACTACAGTTTCCCTGACCCTCATGCCCGCTCCTTCACTATCCGCTGCCTCAGGAAGTTGCGGTGGGTGGCACTGCCTCTATAATCAACACCTGAGTGCTTTTAAAAAAATAAAAAAAGTAGCAGGAGTGTCAGTCAGCACAGGCTCTGTCATGCATATATGTCAAAATCGTAGGAAAAATACCTTTATTCATATTGCTTTAAACATTTGTAGAGACATTCAAATAAGCACTTATTAATAATTTAAATAATTCATTTTATTAATGTTTTATTTAATTTGCGTGTCAAGAGAGCCTTGTCTGAATTGGATATTTATGAGGGATTTATATTCAAATTTATTTACATTCAAGTTGGCTCATCTGTAATGTGTTGTTTTTTTCTCAACAGTGACGATGAGCTCTTTCAGTACCTCTTACAACTGGTGCAGGTTCTGAAGTATGAATCCTACCTGGATTGTGACTTGACCTGTTTCTTGCTTGAGAGAGCCCTGGCCAACAAGAAAATAGGTCACTTCTTGTTTTGGCACCTCAGGTATAAATTCATCTTCTTATAGTGCTCTACAGCGATGCACCCCCATTCCTTTCAGTGTAATTTAGGCTTTGTTTTCGCTTCCTCTAAAGGTCAGAAATGCATGTGTCCTCAGTCAGCTTGAGATTTGGACTTATTCTGGAGGCGTTCTGTCGTGGGAGCATCTTTCACCTCAAGAACTTGATGAAGCAGGTTTGTTGCATTCCTTATGTGAAAAGCAAAACTTTTTTTTTTTTTTGCATATGCTGTGATGCATCTTTATTAACTTATCTTTTATGACCTGATGTGAACCACTTTTATTTTTGTGTATTTTGCTTTCCGGGGCCCTTTTTGACACTTGGGGCCCAAACTTAGCACTTGACTTGTTTTCTCGGTTACTGGTTCTGGTAATTGTCACTTTGCGTTGTATCTTTTCTTGTAAGAAACAACGCCTGTCCGTTCAGGCACATATATGTACATGTATAAATATAGTAAGTAAGCACAAGGGTGCTGGAATATGTTTTTTTGGTGCAGCAGCAGTTCCACAGTGACTGTGCTCAGAACTCGTTTTCTTTTGAATGCTTAATAATAGCCAAACCACTGTAAGGAAGGGGAACTGCACTACGCTGCTCAAAGTTTGCAGCTGTTTGTACATGCCTTCTCAGATATTGATTATCACACCCATGTTAAATGCCTACTGCTTTAATTCAGTCCTGTTTTGTGATCGTCACCAGATGTAATGTTTGCGCGTATGGATTTGTAAATACTTATACACAGACTTATTATTATCTCTGTCTCCTACAGAATGAGGCTCTGAATAAAATGAAAGCTCTCAATGACTTTGTGAAATCAGGCAGTCAGAAAGCAACCAGGATACAGACTACAGAGGACATGAAAGTGTGCATCAAACAGGACACTTACATGGAAGCGCTTTCGGATGTCGTTTCCCCTCTCAACCCGAGCATCGTGCTGTGTGAACTATGGTACCATTCAAATGCATGTTAATAAAGTAGATTTATAGAAAAGTCTCAAATCAAATAATATAATATAATATCTATAATAGATTTTAGAGGTTGTTGTGTCCGCTCTTGTTAACAAATGATGTTTCTTTTGGTTAACATCCTACAGATGGTGTGTTATTTAGCAATGCAGATTTTGCGATATGATTGTGCAAAACACTTTTTAAGTAATCTCTCATTATGCATTTTTTAATGGTTTTATGGGTTGTTTTAAGTTTTTAAGTTAAAACTGAATCAATGGCATAATCTAATATTACAGAAGCAAAAAATAGTTTTCAATAATCCCGCTAAATGATTAGGTGCATACCATACTGTACAAGTTACGCATACAAGCATTTACCAGAAAGCAAAAAGCCTGTTTCGCAACCATTTGTGTACGTGTGCCGTTTCTTGATGCTAATCTTTTTTGTTTCAGTGCAGACAAGTGTAAGTTCATGGACTCAAAGATGAAACCTCTGTGGCTGATGTACAAGAACAAATATGATACTTTGGGCATTATCTTCAAGAATGGAGACGGTATGGGCACAAAGTCATGCTACCACATTTTTTGCCAGCACTGAAGATTTTTTTCCCCCCTCATTTTTTGATTGAAAAAAAAGAAAAAAAGACTGACCTTTTTCTCTGTTTTTTTAGATTTGAGGCAGGATATGCTAACCCTTCAGATGATTCAGCTAATGGATGTTTTATGGAAAACAGAAGGTCTTGACCTCAGGTTTGTGTAGTTAACTTTGTGAATAAGCACCTATATATTAGCACTTGTGTATATAGATTATAAACAAAAAAAAGGAAAAATATATATATAATTGTTAATTTATATTGTAAAAAATAAATATTTTATTTATGTAATATTTTATTATATTTATTTTTGATATATCTTATTAGTAATTTCTGAATTGTTTATTTGTTGGATCCCAGAATGCTGCCCTACGGATGCCTGTCAACTGGAAATAAAACGGGTCTTATTGAGGTGGTGAAAAACTCAGACACTATCGCCAACATCCAGAGAAACAACAGCAACAGTGCAGCCACCGCTGCCTTCAACAAGGACGCTCTTCTCAACTGGCTTAAATCCAAAAACCCAGGGTGAGCAGCACACTCTCTAACCTTACACCGCGCCACAGCCCGTGTGGTGTGAACGCTGCAAGCGAGCGTAACGTAGCCGACAAATTTAGCATCTTTGAGGATTTTGCATGAGACATGCAATGCGTTTTCTACTTTCAAACCTCACTCACAGAGTTAAAACTCTCTTGGCTCATTTGGCCTTTTGGTTTATATGAAACTATAGTGTAACATCAAATGCACTTTGGTTGCAGAAGTTGCAGCAGTGGAGATAAATTTACCCCATGTTATGCTGCGTTTACAATTTCATTTGTTCTTGGCAGGTGTTTTCTGCCAAAGTGGCTTTATGTGCATATTGTTTTTTGTGATAACAGCTAAGTATAAAAGCTGAGCACTAAGATGAAACCACAATGTGTGTTGCATTGTGTAACAGTCTCCTTTTGCAAGTTGTCGATCCTGTCAGAATGGGGGGAAAAATGACCTTTTCTGAAATGCACTGGTTTAGAGAAGTCTTAGTGTTGGGGTCTTTTTGGGGTCAAACTAACCTTCAGCATCAACACTTATTCACAGTGTACTTTCCGTACATGACTGATCTTAACTGTGTGATGTTTTAGCATTTAGGCAACTTACAAACTACTTTTGGTTAAGCGTATGTGGCTAACCTAAAAAAAAAACAGCTACTCACTATGATGCATGCATGATTTTTCCTCAAGTATCCTGTTTATACTCTTGAAACTAGAGTGCAGTAAAATGAAGACATTGAATTCTTGTCTGAAATGGATATATGCCCCCTGTGGACATATCCAGTTCTGTATGCTGGTTGTCCATTTACTGTAAATGTTATGCTATATCGTAAGGAATAAGAGTATGGGACACTCGTAATATGTCCTGTCCATTGCTTGCAGATTGGATGATGTTGTCTAATGTTTTCATGTTGCATTTTGGTCTTTAAGAAATGAGGGGATACACAAGGAAGCGCATTATTTGCTGAGCAGTTTAATGTATCTGTGTCTAAGATATGTAAGATGTATTTAAGATGTAACTTTTTGCCCAATTTGCCAATATATATATATAGAATTTTTTTTCTTGCGTGTTTTATTATTCATTTATTTTAATTGACTGCATTATTTCTATCTATCTATAATATACATTATACGTATGTATGCACAAAAACAGTAAATGTGTGTGCTAATGATTTAGCAAACAGCAAGATAGTAGAAATGGCAATGGGTTATGAATTAAAATATTTTTTTTTTTTTCAGGGATAAACTGGATCAAGCCATTGAGGAATTCACCCTCTCCTGCGCAGGCTACTGTGTAGCCACATATGTTCTGGGAATAGGGGACCGTCACAGTGACAATATAATGATCAGGGAAACGGGTCAGGTGAGAGTGAACTCAGTGCCCCAGCAGTGCTGTGTAATCATAAATTGTATCACAAGATGGCACCAGCCATCCATATGAGAATGGGTTGCACTTATCCTATTTCACATACTCGTGTATTCCTCAACTGTAAGTCGCTTTGGATAAAAGTGTCTGCCAAATGAATAAATGTAAATGTGAATTTTAGAATTGTCTTTCAAGTTTGAATTTGGTAAATAATTTAAGGTATGATTGAGATTTTCTCTGTATTGTTTGCAGTTATTCCATATAGATTTCGGGCACTTTTTGGGGAACTTCAAGAGCAAATTCGGGATCAACAGAGAACGTGTACCTTTCATTCTGACATACGACTTTGTCCATGTAATTCAGGAGGGACGGACCAACAACAGCGAGAAATTTGAACGGTCAGTACATCTGTTTTTTAATTCATGGCTTAATTCTCAACTTTAACGCAAACACAAAGCTAGTTGCCATATTCTGAACTATAGAATAATTGTTCTGAACTATAACCTTTCTAAACTAGTCTTTTTTTGTAGTTTACTTCCATTTTTATCAGCTGCATTTATCAAAAGTTTATCACCTGTGTAAAAGTGTCAGCACAAAAAGAAGCACCTTATGCCGAGTTCACACTGCACGATTTTAGCCCGATTTTTCACGTCGCCGACACCCGCAAAATATTTGGCATGCTAAATATCTGGAGCTGTCGACGATTCACAATCACGCTGTGTGCAATGATTTCTGACTGAAAACTACATCTGCGATGACCTACAGCCAATGAGAGACCAAGATACAGGGCAGAGGCAAGTTCGTAGAGGAGTTATAGACCAGAATATCAGTATTTTAATAGATATATGAACTATTATGTCATATAGAAACGAGCACAAACATTTGCTTGACCAGCCACAACATCAGCATAACAGTTACTGCAAAATTATTTATCTCCAACTCTCTTTGCAGAACACCAAATCCCTGTTCCCTGCATGTTTATCTTTTTCTCCTTGTAGCTGGAAATCAGCTCACAGACAATTTGCGGGCTATATATATATATATATTTTTTTTTAATAATTCCAGTCTTGCTCGAGAACTCCGTTCTGACGCACGCAGGTTCTTGCGTTATTTCCTTATCACTTCTCGCGTGTGTTTTGTTGTGAAACGTAGTTTGCGGACCAAGATTGCGGCGATTCTTCCTATTGTGAAGTCATGCAGTGTGAAACCCCCTGTCGCCGATCCATCGTGCAATGTAAACACAGCAGCAACTGAATGCTACCCCAGATAGTCACGTAGTGTGAAAACAACGCCGATCCGACGAATTTGAAAATCATGCAGTGTGAACTCTGCATTCGTTTCTATGATTTCCAACAGAAAGCATTTTTTACATTCCTCTGATATGTATGGAAACTGCTGACTGCTTATAACCAGACTACATTTATACTGAATGTAACTTGCTAATAAATGGAAGGTTTTTGTTGGGAAAGAGAATGTCAAATTCATGGTTGAATAAGGAAAGAGTGCATGTGTTCTTCTCTTCGCCAGGTTTCGTGAGTGCTGCGAACAAGCCTACAAAATCCTTTGCAGGAATGGGACTCTTTTTGTGAATCTTTTTGCCTTGATGAAAGCTGCAGGACTCCCTGAGCTCAGTTCTTCCAAAGACATCCAATATCTCATGGTAAGAATTGCACAGACAGGTATTATTTATTACCCATGACCATGAGATGGGTGATATTTGCAGTTTCTCTAGTGCTTTGCAAGCATGAAATATCAAATCTAAATGGATGACATCTAAAGACACTGTTATGTATCAGATTTGTTTTTAGAACTAGGCTAAAACAAAATGTTGCCTATAATTTTTCATTATAGAGTTCACCCAAAGATTGTCATCATAATTATCAAACCACTATAACTTTCTGTTTTTGTGGAACACACACACACAAAAAAGATAATTTGAAATATAGTATGGAGAAAAAAAGAGACATTCTTAAAAAAATATTTATTTTCTACAGAAGACAGCAATTCATGCAATAACATGAATGTTAATCATTTTTTAGTAAATGATTACATAATTTTAATTTTTAGGTGAACTGTCCTTTAAAAGTATGGTTCACCCAAAAATGAATATTTGCTGAAAGTTTTCTTCATCTAAACAGATTTAGAGAAATGTAGCATTGCATCACTTGCTCACCAAAGGATCCTCTGCAATGAATGGGTGCCGTCAGGATGAGAGTCCAGACAGCTGATAAATACATAAAAACAGCTGGTAATCCACACGACTTCAGACCATCATTTAATGTCTTGTGAAGTGAAAAGCTGTGATTGTAAGAAACAAGTTCATCAAAATGTTTTTAACTTCTAGCTAAAATACTCCAAAGTAGTCCTCTATCCATAATATTGTCTCGTCTGAATCAGGAGAGAAATACAGTATGCATAGATCAAGCACAAGTACCATGTAAATAGTCCAAAACAGTTCTAAACAAATATTTTGATGTGAGAGGACAACAGTGGATGGGATTTTTCACTGGAGGAAGCGTTGTTATGGATTATGGACATGTATTTTGGCAAGCAGCAGCGGTTTAAAGTTAAAACCCCTAAATGAAGAATATGTTTCTTACAAACACAGTTTTTCGCTTCACAAGATTTTAATTGAAGGAAGTGTGGATTACTTGTGGATTATTGTGATGTTTTTATCAGCTGTCTGAACTCTTATTCTGACGGCACCCATCCACTGCAGAGGATCCATTTGTGAGCAAGTGATGTAATTCTAAATTTGTCATGATGAAGAAACAAACTCATCTACATCAAAATGACAAAAGTAAGCAAATTTTCATCTTTGGGTGAACTATTCCTTTAAGAGTAATTCATTAGAGGAATAATGAATGTCATAACCAGGTGGATTTAGAATATGTTCAGTGGTGACATTCCACCTCCATCATGACGGATTGTTCTTTTTCTCACAGGACTCTTTGGCACTGGGGAAATCTGAGGAGGAAGCACTGAAGAACTTTAAAGTGAAATTTAATGAAGCTCTAAGAGAGAGCTGGAAGACCAAGGTGAACTGGATGATGCACACTTTTGCCAAAGATAACAGATAAATGGCACTTGATCACAGGAGACCCACTGAAACCCTCTTGATGCTGAGTTTTGATTTAAACCAATGCAGCTTTGAACACAATCAATGTCGCACTGCTGTCTAGCATTTATGGCATTATACTTCCATGCAAAGGCAAAAAAAGGCATGACCAATATCATAGTTCAAATGCGACTAGATTTGGTGTTTAAAATCCGGAAATTCAGTCAAAGAAGTTCCTGCGTTTTTTTTTTGTTTTTTTTGCAGGGCAGTATATACATCAACAGCTGTTTAGCGAATGTTTACATCTGTGACGTAATATTGAATAATTCTATACATTTGTTTTAGTGAGACCTACTGCTTGAAATGAGAGTAATTTCAGATACATGTTGTATTTGCAACACACTGCACTGGGAATCGAAGCTACAAATTTAACAATCTATTGGCGTGCCACTAATTTAACTAGCATCTCTGATTTGTATCTGTCACATTTGTGTACCTGCACCGATTAAGTGAGATTAATGTATTTATCATTTATAACTGTACAGCATAAATAATTGCCTTTTGTTCTGAAGAAGAAAGCACTTTGTGTTTTCATACAGTTTACATTTTTGTTTTGTCACATGAATGTGTTTGGTTGTACATATTCTTTAGTGTATCATACGTATATTTACATTCCTTAAAACAGTATTTTTTCATTTGAATTATTTGTATAATAGGGGAAATTGTTGATCAGGAAAGCCTTTGTATAGTGGTGTACATGAGAAGACATTTTTTATGTCAGTGTAGAAATGAGCCTTAAATATTTTGTATTTGTGGGGTATTCTGTGCCTTTGGGATGAGACACAAGCCATCTTGAAGTCGTGTCCAAAGAGTTAGCTTTTTGTTCAGTGAAATGTGTTCAAAGGATGTATGCCTTGTACTACTGTACTATAAATCAGGGCAAAAGTGGAATATTGTTGCTCTGTAGAACATTGGGCTGTTAATTGTGTGCCTATTTTGAATATAGAGTCAGTCAAGCTTGTGTTTTCTCTTCCGGTAAACCTTAATCAGTTCCAGAATGTGTCGCCACAGTATTCTCTGACTGAATCCACTGCTACTTGATTCATGAAGATACTTTTTCTCAAAAGATGTGTAAATTTTGTTTATTTTGAATCTTTAAATGTCCTCTAGAATGTGATTTTTTAAAAAAAAGAGATTTAAAGTTAAATCCATCTAATCTTTATATATGACAGTCCTATAAACACCCACCGCATGTAAGGAAGATTTGTGGACAGAGGAAGAACTTTCAAATAATGAATGGATTTTAGCAGTGGTTCAGGTATTGATTATCATCTATTGGACTACTAGCCGAGTACCTCTCATGCTGTGGTTTTGTTCAAGCCATCATTATTCAATATTTTTGATTGCGTACCATGATCTTTAAGTTACTTCACAGTGTGAAACGCCAGGATCTTGAATTTCTAGGTTTACTAATGTATTGTTTCAGTTTTTAACTGCTTTCTGAAGTTTTCAGAGATGTTATGGAAGTGTGATACTCATTCTCATTTTTGCCATAAATTATTGATTATGAAATTGACTTGTGGGGTATTTATTTATTTTAATTGAATAGTTTTTGATAGTAACACAGAGGCACTGGGAAAGGAACCGGACCTTTGGCTGTTTATGTATCTGCCATCGGAGGCAGGGAAATAAAAATAAAAAAATTCTGATATTAACTGAATAGTTCCCCCAAAAATGAAAGATGTAGATGTAGTTTGTTTCTTCATCTGAACAGATTTGGAGACATTTAGCATCATATCACTTGCTCACCAATGGATACAGTGAATGGGTGCCGGTAAAATGAGAGTCCAAACAGCTAAGAAAACTATCACAATAATTCACAATCCACATGACTCCAGTCCATCAATTAACAGCTTGTGAATTGGAAAAAGCTGTTTTTGTAAGAAACTAATTCATCATTGAGACATTTTTAACTTAAATCGTTGCTTCCGACTAAAATATGAGTCCTCTATACAAAATAATACATAAAGTAATTTTGTCTGAGTCAAGAGAGAAATATGACAGATCAAGTGGATTTAGATGTGAGAGGACAACATGCAATGGACTTTTTCACTTTAGGGAAGCGTTGTTATAGATTATTATTTGCATTTTGGCCTAAAGCAGCAGTTTAAACATAAAACGCCTTGATGGATTTGTTTCTTACAAACACAGTTTTTTCACTTTACAAGACGTTAATTGACAGACTGGAGACATGTGGATTATTGTGATGTTTTTATGAACACTCATTCTGACGGCACCCATTCACTGCAGAGAATCCATTGGTGAGCAAGTGATGTAATGCTAAATTTCTCCAAATCTGTTCCGATGAAGAAACAAACTCATCTACATCTTGGATGACCTGAGGTTGAGTACATTTTCAGCAAATTTTCATTTTTGAGCGAACTATTCCTTCAAGAGGACTGTCACAATGTGGCCGATTTACCCGAATTCACCCTATGTAATTTCCAGAATTCAGATTAGTGTGGGACAGGAAGTTAAATGTGCCTGATCAGCATTTGAATGTTATTATTGTGTGTGTTGGAGAAATATACAGTGAAAATGAAATGGAGATAGTAGGGGAAGTGGAAACTGCACGAGACCTCAATCTTTGTTGTGTAATGAATGATAAACGAGGCTTTCCCAGTGTGAGGATACAGTAAATGAGACTGCTGGGAAACTCTCAGTAACATATGCTCTGAGACTAGGGCTTGGAAATAGTGGTGATAACATTAAGAACAGTGATTTCTGTTTTAGTTCCATTGAAGGATTTTCTGTAATAGGGCAATCCTGAGAAACATGAACCCCACTCGGGCACCTTAATGGCTTATTGTAAAAGCTTATTATACATATTTAAAAGCTTTAATAGCATTTCTATACTCTGTGGAATTGAAATGGGTTCATTACCTGTCATGTTCATGCTGTCTAAACAAATAGCGGTACTTTATTATTATACCATCAAGAAGGTGATATACTCTGTAAGGTTTATGTCAGTCATAGGAATATAATGAAACTGTAAAATCCAATTAAATGTCTCCTTTTGTACAGTATTTAGAGAAAAAGATCGAATTGATTATATGTCAAAAAACTGATAAATTGCAATCAAAAGAACTTAAGAGTACACGAGATGGCATCAAAAGCACCTTTTAGATAAAGTAACTAAAACTGAAAAATAGTACGATCTATTACATTTGTCTATTTGTGAGTGGTACCACACAGAAAATATCGAGCTATTTAAGACAGGACAAAAACAATGTGGTGTATATGAAAAAAAATAAATAAATATATATACTGTATATATTGTGGCTCAGCCAGTGTATATTCAGTGCTCCAAAAACATTTTTTACATTTATTGTTACTAATGCTTAGGTAGCCTACTTCTCGAAATGGTAAATGACTTTTCATTTCTCTTGTTACATAATATTTAAAAATAATATAAAGTAATATAATATATTAATAAATTATTAAACTTATTTTATTTTAATAGATTTTTTTCTTTTTTTTATTGCTACTGATCTGTCAGTTTAGTGCTTAGGTACATTTTAGAATGTTATGTAGACTTTTTTTATTCCTCTTGTTATAATATATTAACAATATTTCATAATATCATATAATGATAAAGTATGAAAAACATTTTATTTTATAAAAAAAAAGATCAGATCAGTATTAAATCAGTGTTTCTTTTTTTACATTTATTCTCAGTATGTTCTGACTTTGCATTCCTTTTGTTATAATATATCAAAATACATAATAAATATGTACCAACCCCATAGACTTTGCTCGCTCGCTGATCACTAGTTAGCTACGCAGCGTCACAGCGCCCTCTGATGGCGACGGTCGCGCGTCGCACCGGCAGGAACTGATTCAGCAGTGCTTTACGCTCTTGAGTCACTCCAGCGCTGCCGACTGTCGGGATGTGACCCCGGAACAGGACGCCTGCTTATACACAACACAGCTCTCAAATACAACAAAAACGACAGAATCCTGGACCAGGAGAGGTAAGACGTCAAAGCGGAGGTGTTTGAGGCAGCATATGAAAACTACGCCCCAAAACGAGGCGCGAGTTGAAGCTGTTTGGCTGTTTTTCTGTTGCTAGCGAGCTAATGTGTGTGTATGGGAATTGTGGGAACTTCATTCAGGGCTTTGTTACAGCCCCACTGTCCGCTTTGCCTGTTTAGACACCCCCTGTATCTTACGCACACTAACTTTTCTCCTTTAAACACTATAGTCGTAAATAAAAGACAGTCTGTTTTACTGACCGTCTTCATTTTAAAGATAAATGAGCGATATATGCGCGCGTTTTGTCACAGAAAAAGAGAAGAGGACTGGAGTGATAACTGACTGCTGTACTAGTTCAGTATTATACAGATACTTTGTACGCTTACAATTTAAATGTAATCTAATTTGCATATTAATGACGTCGTTTATGATCTATACACGTTGTGCTGTTTACCTTTTTTGCTTTTAGACCGCTTTTTCAGCACACGAATCTGCGGCTGTGAATGCACAGATATGTTTAAATGGTCATTGCGGTTGAACTATAATTTCCCCACCTGATTCGATAAATGCAGCACTTTTATGATGAGTTTTTGTGGTTTTCCTGCATCAATTTAGTATTTATAGGTTTATTTGATCTTCTTAGACTCTCAGTTCATAAAGAATCTCAGTCACTGTGCCACATTATCTTGTCTTAGTGGCAATGATAGTCTATTTTTAGTCTCTCCACACCCTGAACTCATTGTGAATACAGAATACATGTGTTTGGCTCACATTCGGCTATGAAACTGGCAGTCTGCCTGTAGTGGGCACTTGAACCGCGCTGGGCTTCGAGAGTTGACGGGACAGGGCAGGGCCAGCTACTTGTGAACTTGGAAGTGAAACAGTTTTTTCTTCAGTCTTCGCATTCTCCTGAGGGATTCTGACTCTTTGAATCCAAGAAAGACGGTTCTCCTCCTTTATGGCAGGGGGGCAGGTGTGGCTCATGGACTGCTCAACCTCTGCGTCCCGAAGGGAGATCATCAGCTGCCTTTGAGCTACAAGCTTAGGCATGGACTCAGACCTCCTGCCAAGCCAAGCTTCACATTTTTTTTTGTTGTTGTTGTGGGGAGCCCAGCCCCCCTGGTGTCGCTTGGCATCTCCCACCCCCTCTCTTTTCTGTCTGTCAGACACAACACAGGCTGGGTTTATGCCTTGCAGGCCTGCTCCTACATGATCAAGGCCGGGATCCAGGCTTAAATCAGCCTCGCTGGCTGCAAATGTGGCTTCTTTCTGTGGTAATAAGCGAAATCCTCTTCAGCTTGCTTACATTTTCAGTGGTTGGCTTCCTTTGACTTTGAAAAATTTTGCTTGCACACTATTAATGATCTCAATCCTTTTCTGGCAATATTACATTTTACTAAATTAAAAAAGTGTGTATGTGTGAGTGTGTATGTCATAAAAATATATATATATTTAAAATATTAAATATAATAATTGTATTTTTCATTTTATGTTTTTATTATTTTTGTATTATTATATAATTTATATATTTTATTAGATTTTTTTTTTTTTACTTGGTTTAGGTCTCAGACAGATTAGTCGCTGCAAATGTGGCTTCTTTCTGTGGTAATAAGCGAAATCCTCTTCAGCTTGCTTACATTTTCAGTGGTTGGCTTCCTTTGACTTTGAAAAATTTTGCTTGCACACTATTAATGATCTCAATCCTTTTCTGGCAATATTACATTTTGCTCAATTAAAAAAGTGTGTATGTGTGAGTGTGTATGTCATAAAAAAAAATATATATATATATATATTTAAAATATTAAATATAATAATTTTATTTTTCATTTTATGTTTTTATTATTTTTGTATTATTATATAATTTATATATTTTATTAGATTTTTTTTTTTTTACTTGGTTTAGGTCTCAGACAGATTAGTCACACCTTAGCAGGAAAGGCCTGACTTCCTCTCTTGAAATAAAGTGTTTGAGCCCATTTAGTTGAAAAATAGTATTATTGAGGGAATTGTCTTGTCATTGTTTTATATAGCTGTATATGTCTGACAGCCGGTGCAGCAGTGATCCCAAAGGGAGCTTCCCACTGCAGTGGGTTTTGTATTGTGATTCATGACAAGCGCTCTGGTGCATGACAACCATCTTGTGAAACACTTATACTAGACTGATTTGAATACCGAGGCGATGCATTGACAAAATAAGCCTTAGAAAACTTCAGTAATGTTTGAACCGCTTCACACCCTGTCATAAGTTGGTTGCGATTAAACTTTTTTTTTTGAACTGCTGAAATTTCAAAGTATCATTCCTTGAATGTTCTGATCTGCTTTTTAACTATGTAGACTTTTTTTTATAGTTCGTCAAATTCAACTTCTTTTTGTGTTGACTATTTTTGAATTTACAGGGATTGCATTGCTGCATCATGCTTCATGCATTGCTAACGAGTCATGACCTAGTTATCAGTCATACCAGCTCTGGCTGCCTCTATTGTTGTCAAATACACTAACTATTGTTTCCACACTGTAAAT